ACATGCTGATTCTTATAACAGAAACTTGGGGTTCACTATATTTAACAATACACATAGGTCATGTTTCCCCTCACCCCTTTAGCCAGACTGATCACAGGTGCCAAGTTCCTGTGGGATGAGCCAGTGCCATAGTTCTGCTTCACTGGTTTCTATTTTTGGGTGTGTTGCCATTCTTTTAAGGTGGTGCTTCTATTCCTGAATTAGTACAGCTTGTAGAATGCAGATTCGCCTAGGCAACAGATATGAATCTGGTAATGAGGAAGAACAAAGGCTAAATCCTCTGTCTGTTGAGGTTAAAAGTGAGAGGAAGAGCCCTAGAGCAGCAGTCCCCAACGTTTTTGGCACCTCAGGACCTGTTTTGTGAGTGATTTTTCCACTGACCAGAATGTAGAGGCGGTTTCAGAATGATTGGAGCACATTATGTTTATAGTGCACTTTCTTTCTGTATTGTGCATTGTAATAGTAGTGACAGATCATTAGCCATTCAATTATCATAAGGATCATGCAACCTACAACGTTCACATGCACAGTTCACAACAGGAGTTGTGCTACTGTGAAAATCTAATGCTGCCACTGATCTCGGCAGGGAGGCAGAGCTCAGATGGTAATGCAGAAGCTATGAAAAAGAGGCTATAAATTCAGTAGACTTCACTGGCTTGCCACTCATCTCCTGCTCTGCAGCTCAGTCTCTGACAGGCTTAGGGACCCACAGAGCACAAGACCCAAGGACAAGCTGCCATGCGTCATACTGGTTGGGCTTCACCTTCAAACTCTACAAGGAGATAGTCTGTTTGTAATCCACCCGTGCTGGAGTTTGCAGGAGGGGCTAGGAGCAAATGCTCTGGCAGTTGGTCGTCACCTTTTCATCAGTCGCTCTTGGCTTTTGCTGTGCTCCATGTCCCCTAGAGCACCTGTGACCTAGTCTATTGCAGCCTATTCCTACAGTAGAGGAGGCCGTGATGGCCTCAAAACCCATGACTACAGGGATAAAAGCAGAATTTAAGAGTATTCCTCTCATCTTTCTCTGGCTGACATCTCCAGCCACCATCTTCTCCAGGCTGCAGTCACTCTATTCACACTCACCCTTCAACACTGCCAACCACGGCCTCCGGTTCCCACCTTTTCTGAGTTCCATTTTGTCTCATTGCAGAAATCCATGTTGAACTGTCTTTCCATTAGTTCCTCCTAATTAACAGCCTGCATCCTCTTCCCCTTTCCTCTCTGCAAACTTGGAGTCATGGCCTCAGGGCTCCACAGCTGTAACCTGTGCCCAGCCACAGAGAAGGATCCTTGGGTGCCTGGACCTGATTTCAGGGGTTCAAGAAGCTGATAAGCCCTCCCGCCCCAGGCCTCCCTCCCAGTGTTAAAACTCAGGCTGGACTGCAGGGGTCTCCATACCCAGCTAAAGGTTAAGTCTGGCATATCTTCCCTCCATGTTCGGCGGGAGGCCAGGGCAGGAGGACACGTGTCTGAGGTGTTCACTCTGTTTCCACTCTGGGGACACCCGCCTTGTCGGGTAGCAAGCGATCTTCTGATCACATCAGATGAGTGCATATTTCTCTTCCTGGGAGTCAGTGGGGCCTGAAGGTAGCTTCCACTGACCCAGGCCCCCAAGAGATCAATCCTCAGGAGTAGTCTCCCTGGTTTCCCCTTCCGTGAATCTGAGGCTCCCAAGCGCCTGGTGACCCCTCTAATCTCCCCACACCGAGGCCTCCAACCTACCTGTGCTTGTTGGGGCCGGAGGGACTTAGTTCACATAGGAGACATTGGGGCTGAAAAAAAGACAGCAAATAATGACTCTCTAGGAGCCCAGAAGACGGCAGGTCTACCCCATACATGAGAGGAGGTAGGGACCCAGAGCCAGACCTTCAGGATGTCTTAGGCCAGGAGGTATCTATGCCTAAGATCTGCGTGACAGAGCTGTTGCTGTGTGTGTGTTAGTGTGTGTGTGAAAGAAAGAGTTGTCGGTGTGCCTGTGTGAACAAAGCATGGAATGACGGAGACTGTGTGTCTGTCAGGGATCTCTCTCAGAATTATCTTCCCAACAATTATGAGGCCAGGATGTGCCGGTGAAGGAGAGGTGAGAGTCCATGACTGGGGACAGGATCTTTTGTCCCCCTCAGACCAGAGCAGAAGACCTGGCAGGATGGGGGATGATGGAGGCATGGGAGTGGGTGCATGACATTTCCTTCAGGTCCCGAAGTGCAGAGCACAGAGTTATTTCCTCAGAAAAAGAGCTCACTTGAAACACCTCGGGCTGACATCAAGAAAGTGAAGTTTTGAAAGTGTTGTAGATTTCACACCAGTAGGATCCCAGTCCTCCTTCAGCTGAATCATGGTGATTTTTTGAAGAGGCTGGCATTGGGCTTGTCCAAGATTGTGAGACTTCTGGACTGCTGTCCGTGGCTTGAGGCTGGTGACCAGTAAAGACACAGATTTGGAGATATCTCCTGACACCAGGATTGGGCTAATGGGACCCTCGGAGATGTCTCTAACCCAGCAGGATTTAGGCTAATAGGACCCTCTCTTGGTGAGTACTGGCATTGCAGGAAAAGGGTCTGTCTTGAGTGTTTGTGAATTTCTTCAGGCATGGCGCCCTTTACCCAGGAACCTGCAGAGAGAAACCTGAGTCAGGCTCTGGAGGATCAACCTCTCCATCACAGGCTGAGGAAGGAGAGGGAACTACTTCTGATGCTCACACCTCAGAGAGGGGCCCCTAAATTCTTTCCTGTGGTCACAGAGCCATGCTCCCTGCCCCACTCATTCTTCATCCACTCCTTACACACCACTGCCCTCTTTCCCTCCATGTCACCTGAGGCCAGAGCAGCAGCAACATAAGGTGGGGTAGCAGGTGGACTGCCCCAGGACATCCCAGCCCAAATCTGTTTCACAGTAGTGGAGAGGAGAAAGAGAGTCCTCTCAGGAGAAGGAGGCAGACACTGAGCCTGATTCTGCCCCAGGTTCCCAGTGTCTCTCAGCTGGGAAACTGAGGAAGGTCAATGCCTTGCTGGGGAATTGGTCGGCCTGGGAGGGTGGGCTCTGCAGACCAGGGGAGGAGGGCAACCAGGCGGCCAGGGCCACCAGCTACAGGGTCTGTCTCTGGGCCTGGTCACCTCAGCCCTGCTGCGTTGCTCTGCCACCGCACACACTGAACTTCTCCCATGTCTGCTGCTACTCCTTTCAGCCCATCTGCTTCTCTGTTGCGGGGGTGCAGCTCCAGCATGGCCAAACACAAAGCTGTGCAAATAAAACTGGGGTCATCCCTCTCTTTCTCTGCTTCCTGTAAGTGGTCAGGGCCCTTGGGCATGACCAGGCTCCTGAGTCCTTCTGGTCACTCAACCATGGTGGAGTCGATGATGAGTTTTGACCCTAGGGACATTTGTAGAGGGCAGATTTTAATCCCAGGAATTATAAGATGTTCCCTAGAAATGGTGGGGCCAGGAGAGCAGGAGGAAGAGTGCTGGTCAGGGGATATTTGGAGGAGGCAGGCAGGAATGGATCAGTTATGGGAGCTCGGAATCATCTCAACCAGTGCTTGTTGGATTGAGATACATGAGTGGATGAAAGGAGGGAGAATGAAAACCCTGTCATTTCAACATGTCTATAAAACGTGTAGAGGAAGAAAATGGCCAAAATGAGAGCTATCTAGCAACAAAATCAAGTGATACTGGGTTACTACGCAGTTTGTAAAATAAATTTCTAGTCCATGCTGATGTAAGTAAGTAACTTGAATAAAGAACTAGGAGAGAATAGACAAATATCCCATGCATAAGGATTCTGCCATGTTCCAGAGATGTTGGTGTTCCCCCTCTTCATATGTTCAAACTTAATTTCCATGTAATAGCAGCAAGAGGTGGGACCTTGTGGGAAACTCTTAAGTCATGAGGGCATCACCACTCAAGAATGCAATTAATGTCCTTATACAGAATTTGCAGGAAGCAGATTTGCCCCTGTCTGCCATGTGGGGACCCCAGTGTTCATACCTTCAGCCAACTGAGGATACACGCAAGAAAGTGCCATCTTGGAAGCAGAGAGCAGCCCTCAGCAGACACCAAATCCACTGACACCTTGATCGTGGCTTGTCCAGAACTTTGAAAGAGATTTCTGTGTATAAAGTCCCAGTCTAAGGCATCTTCTCATAGCAGCCTGAAGGAACTGAGAGATTACCAAACAACTCTTATAGGTTCTGCTCTCAAGGGGAGCGTAAATTCCCACTGCTAAAGCGTGGGCTGTGCAGATGACTTTCCTCCCAGAAGGGGACAGCATGGGAAGGAGGAGAAGAGTAGCTGTACAGTGGAAGCCTCCCACACTTACTGGCAGCCAGGCAGCAGGATGCAGACCCACAGAGGATAACTCTGGTTGTTAGAATGTGTCATTGACTTGATGTGATGACAGAGACAATTATTTGTGCAGACTCCTTCCCCAAGCCACTGGCCCCAGGAGAAAAACGTCAGGCAAATTTCACATGGGGACATTCTCTACAAAAATACCACAAACGCTTATTCCTCTAAACTGTCAGACCATCAAAACTAAGAAATAATTCTCAGAAACTGCCATGGATAAGAGGAGCCTAAGCAGACATGAAGACTAAAAGCAATGTGGTGTCCTGAGTGGGATCCTGGAGCACAAGTACCTGAGGTAAAGCCAGGGAAATCTGAATGAAGTAAGGACTTCAATTAATAAAATCTACCACAGAAACAGAGTAGAATAGCATTAGCAGAGGCTGAGATTGGACAGACTGGGTAGGTATTGTTGAAGAGCACAGTTTAGGTTGAACTGAAAAAATAAAAGAGATCTATCGTACTGTATGGTGGCTGGGTTTATAACTATGAATTATACACTTGAAAATGACAAAGAGAATAGATTTTTTTTAAAACATGAAATAGAATAACTTTATTTTCTCTGGAAGAAGCAGAAGGTGCAGAATACTGGGGCAGCAACTTTGCTGGCGGAAAACATGGAACTGCACAGAAGGAGTTGAGGTCTAAGTGGAGACACTGATGCCCCTCAGTGAGGTGCCGCTGTCTCCCTTCCAGCCTGGAGCCTTGGGTCTATTTCCTGCCAGAGAATGGTCTGGCACCCTTTCCTCTGCTTCTGAACTGCCCTCAAGCTATTTCTAAACGCAAGATCCCAGACCAGACAAGTTCATACTTGAGTTCCTTGGTGTACAGTCACATTGTACTGGCTTTTCTTTGCCTTCCAGGTGGAGAAGTTGATCTTGGGCTCTCCAGATGAAGATCCTAAGAAGGCAGAAGTTTTGCCTCCTGACAGTGCCATCATCCATCCAAATGGCCTGCGCTATAGACAAAGACAAGACCACTCGTGGAGGAGATTCGGGAGTAAAGGGCAATGGGACTGAGGCACTAAAAACATAGAAACTCTTTCCTTGAGAATAAATATTTAAAATGTGATGTTTTTTCTCTTTCATACAAAAACAACTTTAAATAAATGAAACTATCAGCCAAAATACTTGAGTGTCAAACATATTGTACTAGCAAGATGTTTTAATCTGTATCAATAAGCTAAATTTGTAATGAGGAACTGAACACTTTGTTAGCTGACCAGTTTGAAAATTGAAGACAAAAATCCCCCTATGAAGAAGCATCATCCTACATAATTTTTCTTGTGTTAGTGAGTAATTCATACTCTCTATCAGTCTCATCATAGCCAATGCTCATGTGTGATTATTTGAGCACATGTCTATGGCAAGTGTGACTGAGGACTGAATGTTTCTTATTCAGCTCTAAGTTAATTTACTCTTTACTTTTTACTTTTTTTGTAATTAAGACATGATTATTGTACATATTTATGGAGTACGTAGTGACGTTTTGATACATACAATGTAGCGTGATCAGATCAGGTTGGTGCTTACATTAATCATCTCAAACATTTCCTCGTTTTCTTTTGTGTTGAGAGCATTCCCATTATTTTCTCTCTGGCTATTTTTAAAATATATATTATTGTAACTAGTCATTCAACAGTGGTATAGAACACTAGACCTTATTCTTCCTCTCTAGATGTAATTTTGTATCCTTTAACAAATCTCTGCCTAACCCCCTTACCCTTTTCCTCACCATTCTCAGCCTCTAGTAACCTCTATTCTATTCTTTCTCCCAAGAAATCAGCATTTTAGCTTTCATGTGGTATTATATGCTGCATTTTACTTCTGTTACTCCTATTTTCAAGTATTCTAACATAATACCTTCCAGGCTCATCCATATTACTGCAAATGATGGATTTTATTCTTTTATGGCTGAATAGTATTTCATTGCACATTTATGCCCATTTTCTTATCCATTCATTTTTCATTTGGGTTGATTCCTATCTTGACTATTGTGACTAGTCCTGCAATAAATGTGGTGGTGTGAATGCACTTTGAGTATACTGATTTCCCTTCCTTTGAGTACATACTCAGTAAGTGAAGTTGCTAGAATCCTTATGGTAGTTCCATTTGTAGATTTTTGTATTACCTACCTCCATACTTTTATCCACAAGTCTGTACTAGTGCATTCAATCCTGTGGTGTATAAAGAGTTCCTTTTCTCCACATTCTTATTACTTATTATTATTTTTAAGAGTTTTTTTGTTGTTTATTTTTGATATCATCATTCAACCTGACAGAGAAGATATCATATTATGGTTATGATTTGCATTTCCCTAATGATTAGTGATGTCAAATCATTTTTTGTTTATTTATCAACCATCTGTATGTCTTCTTTTAAGAAATGTCTGTTCAGAGTGGCAAATTGGATAAAAAGCAAGACCCAACTGTATGCTGTCTTTGGGGCCCATCACATGCAATGATACCCATAGGCTCCAGTAAAGAGATGGAGAAAACTCTACCAAGCAAATGGAAAACAAAAAAAGCAGTGGTTGCTATTCACAATTTCGAATAAAAAGACTTACAAACCGACGGCAATCCTTAAAGAAGACAAATGGCCATTAGCTAATGGCTAAAGGGTTCAGTTCAGAAGACTAACCCACCTAAATATATGTGGCCAACATAGGAACACCCAGATTCTTTCAAGAGAAATTCTTCTGAGACCTATAAGCAGATTTGATAACCATACAGTAATGGTGGGAGACTTAAACACCCTACTGATAGTATTAGACAGATTATTGAGGCAGAAAACTAACAAAGATATTTGAGACCTGAATTTAACATTTGACCAAATGGACCTATGAATATATACAAGAACTCTCTACCCCAAAACAACACGAGTATACATTCTTCTCATCTGCCCATGGTGCATGCTCTAAAACTGACCACACAATTGAACTTAAAACAGTTATCAACAAATTCAAAAAAACTGAAATTATACCAGCCACTCTCAGACCACAGGGCAATAAAAATAGAAATCAATACTAATAACATCACTCAAAACCATACAATTTCATGGAGATTCAACAGCCTGCTCTTGAATGACTTTTGGGTAATCAATGAAATTGATGCAGAAACTAGGGAAGTCTTTAAATCTAATGATAACAAAGATATACCAGAATTGCTGATATGTTAAACCAGCTAAGCATTAAGAAAAGTTTATAGTACTAAACACCAACATCAAGAAACAGTTAGAAGGATCTCCGGAATTTACAACTAACCTCCACTGCCTCAGATGCACTAGAAAAATAAGAAAAACCAAACCATCCCCAAAAGAGATGACAGAGACAAAAATAAAGCCAAAATCAGGAGCTGAACTGAAGGAAATTGAGATGCAAAAGACCATGCAAAGATGAACAAATCTGTCATTTGCAGTAATATGGATAGACCTGGAAGGCATTATGTTAAATGAAATAGGAGGAACAGAAAGTAAAACATAGCATGTTCTTACTCAGATGTGGAAGCTAAAAATGCTGATCTCGTAGATGAAGGCGAACAGAGGTTACTAGAGGCTGACAATGGTAAGGAAAACAGTAGGGATAGGCAGAGATTTGTTAAAGGATACAAAATTACAGCTAGAGAGAGGTGTATGGTGTTCTGTACCACTGTTGCATGACTATAGTTATATTAATATATATTCTCTATGTACAGAGGATATTGAATATTCTCAGCCTGGAGAAAAATGATAAATCATTTAAAGACAATCAGATCGTCATCACAGTCTGAAAACTTCTATGTGTATCAAAACACTATGTATTCCCACAAATATGTACAATTATTGGAGTGTCAATAACAAAAACAAAATAAAAAAGTAAAAAAGTAAATTAATAGTGAATAAAATAAACATTCAGTCCCTCAGTTACCCCTTTACCACATGACGCAGAGTCTTTCAACTTCTGTCTTATTCTAATAATCAGGCAGAGGCTGGTATTTCCTATCTGGTATATAGGATATTACTGCTACATATAGGATGGCATGCTTCATTAGGCATAGACTTCTGCCTCAGTATAGCTGGCCAGCTAATAAACATTCCAGCTCCTTACTATAAATTTATCTTCTTATTAATACCCAAATTAAACATCTTATAACACAACATGCTGACACTTCCTAGTCTTTTGGCTGGTAGTTTTATTTCTTTAAAGTAGTTTTCACTCTGAAAGGGAAAAAAATTGTAACACAGTCTTTTGTCTCAGGGAAAGACTTGCTATTTTTCTTCTTCTTCTTTGTGTGTGTGTGTGTGTGTGTGTGTGTGTAGTGGCACCTCAGGCTCTTTATCCTTTATCCCCTGAGTCTCCTCCATAAGGTCATATCTTTGGGCCACCACCAGAGTGCAGGCCATTTTGGATGAATGGTCAGGCCTGTCAGGGAGGCAAAACATCCTCTACCTTCTTAGGATCTTCATCTCCAGAGCCTGTATGAATTAAACTAACAAAGGCAGATCAATGGGAGGAAAAGCATGCAATTTTTATTAAGATTTGTGTGCATGGGGATTCACAGGAAAGAAATGAAGCTCAAATGAAGCAGTTAAACTCAGAGTTCTGGGCAGCCCCCCAATTTGAAAAGGGAACTGGGCTTCAAGGGGCAACCTATCTTTGGAAGTGACTAGGAAATCTGTGGGGGGAACTAATGACAGACAAGGGCTAATTTAGCAAGATGTTTATGCAAACTCCTCTCAGTGTTGACTGTCCATCTTTTATGAGTGCTGTTCTACTCCAGAAGTAGAAGTTTATCAAAAACGGAATTTTATGCTCCCAATTATAGGCAGATATGGGAGGCAGAGAATTTTGCTTGGACCTGCTGGTTCACGCTTGTCTTCAGCTCGGAAATCATCCTTATGCTAGTGGCATATTTTGGGATAGTATATTCCAGAAACCTTAAGGACATACTGCCACACAAGTCCAGGGTGGATGGAGCAGCTCCGCAGTGGGTATGCATTGGGTATGTCTTCGAGGACCAGGTTCAAATGCCCCCAGCACAGCTGTGACATTCTCTGTGAAATCTTAACAGGCATGTCCCTGCCGCACTCTCCAACTCAAACTCCACGGTGAAAAGGAAGGAGGCTGGAGATGTGCTTTGTGGCCCCTTCCATATCAGACCAACAAAAACGCAGGACAACACCTACGGGGATGAGCAAGCAGGGCTCTGGAAGTGAGAGAAGCTGTCCTGGCCCACAGGGAATGGACAGTGTGGCTGGAAAGGAAGAGTGTGCACTGTAGGGGTAGCAGTACACAACCCTTGGCACAGGTTCAGGAGCCATAGTGTGCAGTCAGCCACTAAGTACTCATGGGCATGGGGATGTGCAGGCTAGAGTCATCACCATTGCTTCAGCAAGAGGAGCTGCCATGTGACCCCACTCATGGGTTGGTTTACTGGGAGGGCCAGGCACCAGACACAGTCACAGGCAGGACCATGGCAGGCAGTGCTGGGGACATGGCGTCTAGACATGTAGGAAGCTAGAGACGGTGGTAAACATCGACTCTAAGACCTTAATGCAGGCAGAGGCCTTTTCACCAGTCCGAGAAGTCCCAGTTAGACAAAGTAGCTGAGCTGCTAGGTCAGATAGTGGCGAGCACAAGGCCACGTGCAGGAAGTAGCTGGAGATCTCTGCTCCTTTTTTTCCCTCTTGCCAGCTATCCTCCCCATGCCTAATGACAGGTTGGGCTGCAGGCCTCTGGTCCTCTCTTCCTCCGGCTCCAGGTTCTCACCTCCTCCTGCCTCTTGTCCTTCTTCCACCAGGGCTCCTGGGGCTCCATTCCACAGCAGGACCAGGAACAAGTGGGTCTTCAGAAGACCGGAATTCCTGCCCATTTTAGGGTGTTGAAGTGATCCAATTATCTCAACAAGACACCATGAAGACTGAATACGCAGGGAGCTCGCTGATGCGGCGCTAGGAAAAACCAGCCCTGTGAATTCCCACACCTACAGGGACATATCCATAGCCACTGTGCAGAGCGGCAAGCAGACCTGGGATGAGCGAATCCTTTGAATAGTTACAGTCATGCAGTCACTGTGCTTTACACCTAACCATGCAGGTTTCTTAAACTTTGCTGTTTGTTATGTATCCAGCGATTATTCACATATGCTTTGGGTAATCGTTTCTATACATATTAAAAATTAATCTTTTACACTTCAGAATTGCTTTCAGATTCACTGAAGAATTGTGTAGGTATTACACATCCTGAGTCAGTATATGTTCAATGTCTTCTACTATTAATCTAATAGTCCACTAGTATGCTACATATCTCACAGTGTGAGTTGATATTGATACATTACTATAATTTACAAAATTGATGAGTAGAACTCATGCATTTTATAGTGCACATGGTAGGATAGTTTGATGTGTATATTAACTGTGAAATTACTAAATCAAGCAATACATACCTTAATTTTTATAGTGAGAACATTTCAAAATCTACTCTCTGTCATTTCAAGTCTTGCAATTCATAGTTATGACTGCACTCACCATACTGTACAATAGATCTCTTGAACTTATTTTTCTGTCTAACTTAAATTATGTTTCTTACAGCAATACCTACCCAGTCTGTCCAATCCCCAACTCTGCTATGCTATTCTACTCTGTTTCTGTGGTAGATTTTGTTGGTGGAAGTCCTTACTTCATTCAGATTTCCCTAGCTTTTACCTCATGTGCCTGCATTGTCAGGATCCCACCTAGGGCCTGCAGTGCTTTTAGTCTTCTGCATGTATGTAGGCTCCTCTTATCCATGGCAGTTTCTGAGAATTATTTCTTAGTTTTGATGGCCTTGACAGTTTAGAGGAATGCTGCTCAGGTATTTTGTAGAATGTCCCTCATGTGGAATTTGTTTGATGTTTTCTCCTGGGAGCTGAAGTGGCTTTGGGGAAGGAGTCTGCACAGCTAATTACACATCAATGTCAGTGACACATTCTATCAACCAGAGTTATCCCTGTGGGTCTGCATCTTGGTTGCCTGGCTGCCTGATAAGCGTGAAGTTTCTCCCTTGGCCAGTTGCTCTTCTCCTCCTTCCCCATGCTGTCCTCTGGAGGAAAATCACCTGCTACAGCCACGCTTTAGCAGTGGGATTTACGCTCCCATGAGAGCAGAACCTACAAGAGTTGTTTGTCTCTCCTCCAGTTACTTCAGGCTGCTGTAGAGACGCCTTAGACTGGGGACTTTATCATAATAAAAATCTCTTTCTCCAAAGTTCTGGGGGCTGGGAGGTAAAGATCAAGGTGTCAGTGGATTTATTATCTGCTGAGGAGCTGCTCTCTGCTTCCAAGGTAGTGCTTTCTTCGTAACCTCCCAGTTGACTGAGAAGGTGTGACACTGTCCTCCGCGGCGGGCAGGGCCCAAATCACACTTCCTGCAGTCTGGTATAAGGGCATTAATCATTCTTGAGGTGACACCCTCATGACCAGATTACTCACAAGATCCACCTCCTAACGCTGTCGTGTAGAGTGGGGTTTGAATGTACGAGGTGGAGGAACACCAGCTTGTTCTGAACACAGCAGAGATCCTTATATACATGGGATATTTGTCTATTCTCCCGGTTCTTTATTCAGTCATTTACTTACATCAGCATGGACTCCTGGAATTTTATTATGCATTGGGTGGTAATCCAGGTACCATGATTTTGTTGCTAGATAGTTCTCAACTTTAGCCATTTTCTTCTGTACATTTACACACACGTTGTTCTTTCATCCACTCATGTATTCATCCAACAAGCACTGATTGAGATGATCCCAGCTCCATAACTGATCCACTCCTGCCTGCCTTCCCCTCCAAATATCCCTGACCAGCACTCTCTTTCCTCCCTGCTCTCCTGGCCCCACCATTTCCAGGAGCATCTTATAATTCCTGGGATTAAAGTTGCCCTCTACAAAATGTCGGGATCAAACTCATCATCAATCCATGGCTGAGACCAGAAGGACTCAGGGGTCTGGTTAGCATGCCTCCAAGTGCCTGACCACTAGAGTGCCATAGAGGAGAGGAAGGAGGGATGACCCAGCTTTATTCTGGCTTTATTCTTGGCCATCCTGAGCTGCCCTAGCAACAGAGGAGCAGTATGATGGGCTGGAAGGCATAAAGCAGCAGACGCGGGGAGAAGTTCGGTGAAAACATGGAAACAACACAGGAGCTGAGAGTGACCAGGCCCAGAGACAGACCCTGCTTAGCAGATGGCTGCTGTCAGGCCTGGCTGCCCCTCCTCCCTGGTCTGAAGCCTGCCCTCCCAGGCCCGACCATTTCGGTCAAGGCAGTGACCTTCCTCAATTTTCCCAGATGAGAGACACTGGAACAGGAGCCAGAATCAGAGCAGGCATCTGACTCCCTCTCTGAGGACTCCCTTTTATCCTCTCCTCCTGTATCCAGAAACAGATTTGAGCTGGAATGGCTGGGAGAGTCCACCTGCTGCTTCCACCTGTGCTGCTGCTGTCTGGCCTCAGGTGACATGGAAGGAAAGAGGGCAGGGTATAAGAGGAGTAGGATGAAGAATGGGTGGGGCAGGAAGCGCGTGGCTCTTAATGACCACAGGACAGAATTTAAGGGCCCTCTGTGTGGGCATCAGTGATTCCCTCTCCCTTTCCCGAGCCTGTGATGGGGAGGTTAGGTCCCTTCAGGCCTCAGCCTCGGTACATCTTTCAGCAGGTTCCTGGGTAAAGGCGCGTGCCTGAAGAACTTCACAAACACCAGGACAGACCCTCCTCCTGCAATGCCAGTACTCACCCAAGACAGGACCCTATCAGTCCAAGACCTGGTGTCAGCAGACATCTCCAGATTGGTGTACCATACTTGTCACCGCTCAAGCCCCAGACAGCAGTTCAGAGAGTCTGGTTACACAATGATAGGATGAGCCAGCTGGCTTCTTTAACATCACCATGATTCAGCTGACACAGAGCGACTGGAATTCTACTGGTGTGGAATTTACAGCACTTCCAAAAAAGTCATCACCCATTCTTAGAGATATCGATCTGGTGGTGTCTTCAGGTGAGCACTTTTCTTGAGGAAATACCTCTGTGCCACCCCCCAGGGACCTGAAGGAAATGTCATGCAGCCCTCCATGCCTCTATCATCCCCCATCCTGCCAGGTCTTCTGCTCTGACCCGAGGGGAGCAAAGATTCTGTCCCTAGACATGGACTCTCACCTCTCCTTCACCCGGCTATCCTGGCCTCAACTGTTGGGAAGATACCCCCAGAGATCCTGGACAGGGTACAGTCTCTCTGTCATTCTGCTGTCTCTCTTTGTGATACAGGCACACCCACAACTCTTCTTTTCACACACACACCCACAGCTCTGTTATGCAGATCTGAGGCACAGACCTCCGGCCTAAGACATCCTGAGGGTCTGGCTCTGGGCCCCTACCTCCTCTCATGTATGGGGTAGACCCCACTCTCTTCTGGGCCCCTGGAGAGTCATTGTCTTTTCTTTAGCCCCAACAACATCTCTATGTGGACCTTTCCTAGCTTTTTAACAAGCACAGGTAAGGTTAGGCCTCCAGTAGGAGAGATTAGAAGAGATCACCAGGCAGCTTGGGAGCCTCAGATTCAGGGAGGGGAAACCAGGGAGGACTGCCTCTGAGGGCCCCGATCTCCTGGGGCCTGGAGCTGAGGTGGGAAGCTACCTTCAGGGGCCCACTGACTCCCAGGGAAAGCATGCACTATCTGATGTGATCAGAGAAGATGGCGCTATGTTCTCGATGATGAGCAGGTGTCCTAGAGGAGTCTATATGGGACACCTTGCACACATGTGTCGGCCCTCCACTGGCGCTCCACCAGCATGGAGAGGGCCTGCAGACTTAACTTTGTAGCCGGATATGGAGATTTCAGGCCTCAGTTACCCTTAGCGCAGGGACCCTTGGAGCTGCCTCTGAGGTCCCTCTCCCTTCCTCTCACCTTTTGGGACCAATCCCATTCTTTATTCTGAGGTCCCACAGGCAGCCACTGTCTTCTTTGTGTCCTCCTTAGTTCTGATCAATTCTCCAGAGGGGACCTCTGGCCATCCCTCCATCAAGGGCTCTGAGACCAGGTGGAGTCAAGTTTTAACAAATGGGGAGGAGGAGGTCGCTAGGGGAGGGAGGACCTGATTGGCTCTGAACCTTCAAATCAGGTCAGGGCACAAAGGATCTTCTCTGGTGGGTTGGGTGGGTTGGGGCCTGGATTTACAGCGGTGGAGCCCCAGGCCATGACTCCAGAGTTTGGAAGAGAGAAGGGAAGAGGATGCAGGTTGGTAATTGTGGAGGAACCATGGAAAGACAGTTCAACATGGATTTCTGCAATGAGACAAAATGGAACCCAGAAAAGGTGGAAACTGGAGGCTGTGCTGGTGTGTTGAAGGGTGAGTGTGAATAGAGTGACTGCAGCCTGGGGCAGATGGTGGCTGGAGAAGTCAGCCAGAAGAGAGAAGAGATGGGGAGAATATATAATTCTGCTTCTATCCCTATAGTCATAGGTTTTGAGGCCATCACAGCCTCCCCTTCACTGTAGGAATAGGCTGCAATAGACTAGGTCACAGGTGCTCTAGGGGACCATGGAGCACAGCAAAAGCCATGAGCGACTGATGAAAATAGACAACCAACTGCCAGAGCATTTTGCTCACCAACTGCCAGAGCATTTGCTCCCTAGCCCTCTCCTCCTGCAAACAGCACGGGTGGATTACAAACAGACTCTCTCTCAGGGAGTTTGAAGGTGAAACCCTAACCAGAGAACAAGCATGGCAGCTAATGGGGGTCCCTGGGGTCTTGTGCTCTAGGGAAGTGGTCCCCAAGCCTGTTAGAAATTGGGCCATATATTAGGGAGTGAGTGGCGAACCACTGGAGTTCATCTGAATTACAGCCTCTTTCCACAGCTTGCATTACGCCTGAGCTCCGCCTCCTGTCAAATCAGTGTCAGCATTAGAATCTCATAGTAGCATGAACCCTGTTATGAACTGTGCATGCGAGGGTTCTAAGTTGCATGCTCCTTATGGTAATTGAATGGCTAATGATCTGTCACTATCTCCCATCACTCCCAGATGGGACCATCCAGTTGTAGGAAATCAAGTTCAGGGCTCCCACAGATTCTACATTACGTTGAGTTGTATAATTATTTCATTATATGTTACAACATAATAATAATAGAAATAAAGTGCACAATAAATATAATGTGCTTTAATCATCCTGAAATCATCCCAACTCTCAGGTCTGTGGAAAATTTGTCTTCCACAAAACAGTTCCCAGGTGCCAAAAAGGTTGGAGACTGTTGCTTTAGGGCTTTTTCCTCTCATTTTTAATCCTCAACGGCTAGAGGATTTAGTCTTCCATTCTTCCCCATTACCAGATCCGTATCTAATACGCCCAGTGGAATCTGAATTCACAAGCCAAAATACCTAGGTTTCTTAGTAGACGCACTACCTTAAAAGAACGGCAACACACCCAACAATAGAAACCTGTGAAGCAGAACTATGGGAACTGCCCATTCCCCAGGAACTTAAGTACCTGTGATCAGTCTGGCTAAAGGGGTGAAGGGAAACATGACCTATGTGGATCATGAGGACGATCCATTGGAAAAAAAGAGCCAAATGCTAATCATAGTTGTGAAAAATATTATAGACCACAATATATGTGATGAAGGATGGCCGTGGCTGGCCAGTGAGCTGTAGGAAGTTGAGGAATTCTCACAGAAGTTCCTGGAAAGAACTGGACATTTAAAAATCAAAGAGAAGTCAGGAGACATGAAGGAAAAGAGTAGATGTACTAATGTATGGGTATCAAGAACCCCTGTGGGAAGTACAGGATGAAAGAAAGAAATATTTGAAGAAGGAATCTAGGAAAGTTTTTCAAAATTATAGAAGAAAAGACCTCAAATTGAAAAGATTCGTACATTGCCAAATAGGGGAAAACAGCCAACACACACAAAAAAATACCTCTACACCCATTAAAACGGAAGAACTTAAAAAGCAAAGGAAAATGTCTGAACGCTTTCAGATCACCTACAAAGGAATACGAATTAGACTTCTTAAGAGGAACACTAGAGAAAAGAAGACCATTGAGTAATATTTCTAAAGTACTAAAGAAAAACTTTGTATCCAGTGTTTTGTATTCAGCCAAATTGTCACTCCAATGTGAAATCATAAAATCTCTGGATTCTCAAGGCCTCAGAAGGTTTGCCACATGCAGAGATCCCCATTGAAAACAGTCCTGGAGGAAGGACTCAGCTAGGATGAAAAATAAACAATGGAGACACTGCTAGAAGTGAGGGAGTAAGTGTGCCCAGCATCTTGGGAAAGTTTATTTTTATCTTTTTTAATTCATAGAAATGGCAGCTAAGAGCAAAATGAAGAACAAGAGAAAATACATTCATGGTCATTGAAAAATAACATTCTAGACCAGCAGTCCCTAACCTTTATGGCACCAGAGATTGGCTTCGCAGAAGACAATTTTTCCACAGACTTGGAGGTGGGCGGTGGTTTCAGGATGACTCAAGCGCATTACATTTATTGTGCACTTTATTTATATTATTATTACATTTTAATATATAATGAAATAATTATACAACTCACCATAATGTAGAGTCTGTGGGAGCTCTGAGCTTGTTTTCCTGCAACTAGACAGTCCTATCTGGGGGTGATGGGAAACAGTGGCAGATGATCAGGCATTTGATTTTCCTAAGGAACATGCAACCTAGAACCCTCACATGCCCCGTTCATAATAGGGTTCATGCTACTACAAGAATCTAAAGCCACCACTAATCTAACAGGAGGCGGAGCTCAGGCAGTGTTGAGTGAGATGGGGAGGCTGTAAATACTATGAGGCTCCCCTTGCTCACCAGCCACTACCCTCCTGCTGTGCAGCCAGATTTCTAACAGGCCAGGAACTGGTACTGGTCTGTGACTCAGGGGTTGGGGACCCCGTTCTAGACAATACCAACATGGGGTGAGAAGGAGAGACCAGAAGCCCATGAAAGGATGGTTGGGTACTTGTCTCATGAGAGGCAATATGTAGATATTGATACGCTCAGTGTAGCAACTGTACTAAACCAATGTGGATAAGAGTCTTCAGGTTAAGTCAAGAGAATGTATACCCTTTCATCCAGCAAAATAAAACTCTAGCCAAAGGAAAACTGGAATCGAATTTTTTTTAAATAAAGCACAATAAATGGAAAAAGTGAAATAAAAAGGTAGAATTATGTCCTAACATAAATGCAATTCCAATAAATTTAAGTGGATTAAACTCACAAAATAAGGACAGGGACATTTGGAGTTTTAAAAAATTGCAATGTTATACTATCTATAAGAGATACACATACAAAAAGATTTTAAAAGGTTAAAAGTTAGAAAAATATATTTGACTATTAGGAAACAAAAACTGTTCTGGCACTCTTAATATTGAGTAAAATAGAATATAAGGTAAAATATTATGTCTATAACGTTTGTTTATAAAAAAGACAAAGATATGTAATATATACTGATGAAAGACACACTTGAATATGAAAATAGACCCATCATAAACGTGTACATGCTTACATTTTGGCCATGAAATATATCAAGCAACAATATCAGAAATGCAAGGAGAAGTAAATTATTAGCCATTGTAGTTGAAGGCTCACATACCTCTCAGAGGATCAAAGACCAATGAGACAAAACTAAATACGGGGGTTTAAGTTTTAAGCCAAATAACTAATAAATTCCAGTATAATACCATCATATATTTATCAATATGTTACATATTTTATGAGATATTTATAATAATATAGGACACATATAAACTATACTTTTAAACATATATTTTCAAATATATAAAAATGTAGTTACAGATTGAAAAATGTTCTAAACTATATAAACATTGTTTTAAATAGTTTAATAATATATAATAGGGTTCACGCTACTACAAGAATCTAAAGCACCACTAATCTAACAGGAGGCGGAGCTCAGGCAGTGATGAGTGCGATGGGGAGGCTGTAAATACTATGAAGCTTCCCTTGCTCACCAGCCACTACCCTTCTGCTCTGCAGCCAGATTCCATATATTATGTATGTTTTATAAAATACAGTAGTCACAAATATAAATAGTGTATAAGTACACATATATATGTTTATAACCCTCTACATAATAAAAACAGATGGTATACATTCTTTCAAATACATGGAATGTATTTACAAAAGGACACCTTGTATGAGGACATATAAGAAGTGTGAAGAAATTCTAAAGAATCAGTATGACACAGAATATATTCTCCAAACCTAACGCAATGACATTAGGAATGCATAAGAGAAGTAAAGATAAAATAGTACTTTTCAAACTATTTACTAATACATTCATATATGAATGTTTAAGTATGCAATAAAATATATTTTTATAATATGACCACTATATATCAAAAAGTATGAGGCATACAATATTAGGGAGTAATCAGTACCTTTGAATACATTTGTTGGAAAACATGAAAGCATTCAAATTAATGAGCTAAGGAAGCATCTCAAGAAGATGGAACGTGAGCTTCAGAGCAAGCCCAAAGAATCATGCAATCGAACGATTGAGAAAGGAGACCAAATAAATTCATAATTCATTATTTAAAAGTGTACTAAGATAGACATGTTCTTGCCAAGACAAAAGAAGATAAAAGAAGATAATGAATAAACAACAAATCAAAGAAAAAGAAGAAAATAACCACACACTCATTCTACAGAGATTTTAAAATAAATAAATCCCGAATAAAATCTTGTTGTTTTAAATCCTAGAAGCACACAATTTCATAACAATATGAACTGCCAAGATTAACACAAGAAGAAACAGATTTCAATAGATTAATAAATAGGAAAACTGAAATGGTTGATGAGACCCATCCTCACAGAAAATTCAAGACTCACATGGTTTTCAGGTAACCCAATTTTTAAAGAAACATTTGGTTTATATCTCATACTAGATGTTGCAGAAAATAGAAAAGAAGCAAAAACGGCCCAGGTCATTTGAAGAGGTTAGCGTCATCAAAATCTCAGAACTAATGAAAGGCGACACAAAAAAATTACATTACAGGTTCATTTATCTGATGCACATGGGGTCAATCCCCAAATTACCATTAGCTAACTGAACTCAAGAGTGCATTGAAAAGAAGACTGATTATAACCGAGGAGAGTTTTATCACAGAACAAAAAGGATTGTTCAACTTTACAAAATCTATTAATATAAGTCAACCAAATTCATAAACTACAGGAAAAAAGTCAACTGCTGCACAAAAAGCATTTGGGAATATTCAGCACATTTATGTTATATGAAAAAGCTCTTAATAAAATAGAAATAAAAACAGAAAACTTGGTAAAGATTGTACACCAATGATTACAATAAAGATTACTTATTGGAGGTATAAACTCAAATTAAGGATTTTCACAGCTACCATAAATGTCTTCTAAAATATTAGAGGTTCTGATCAATGCTTGAAGGAAAGGAAAACAGGTTACAAGAAAGAAGATTAGACAAGAAGAGGAAAAACTGTCATGACTTGCAGATGATGGGATCATCTACCCAGAAAAAGAATGAGAAACAACAAACCATTAGATGTCACAAGAGAGTTTAGCAAGGCTGCCAGAGACAAAATCAACTGACATACATTACAAATAGATTGCTATGAGGAATAATCATTTAGAAAAATAAGATAGTTCTCATTATAGTCACAAAGTCTATAAAGTTTCTAGAAAGAATTAATTTAACCACGACCTATTTGGAGAAAACTACAAAATGCTAAAAAAATGACACGTGATCTGAATAAATAGAAATAATCCATGACTTTGGAAGAGGCAATAACATTGTAAAGATGTCAATTTCTCCCAAATTAAAATATCTTTAAATGTAATCCCAAACACAACTTGTTTACTTTTGTAAAGAACTTGAAAAATTTACTCTAAAATTATATGAAAAAAAGAATATACATGAGTAGCTAAGTCAACCATGAAAAAGTGAAAATAAAAAGAGGTCACTGACTTTATTATATATTAAGTAACACTGAAGCAGAAAGTTACTGAGGCTACAAGAGAAAAGCAGATTTGCTGGGACAGGGTATTCCTAGAATCAGAGCTAGGCAGGCCAGGAGTGGGGACTACACAGAGGGGACCAGGGAGGACCCCTGGGACCAACAGACAGGAGGTCTAGGTCTGTGCTGTCACTGCTCCTAAGGGTCTGGTCAGGTCCTGTGCAGTCTCTAGGCCTCACTCCCTCAGGTGTGATATCTTGGTTTGTCTTGAAGATGCACTTGGCTCTGATTCCTAAGAGGCTCCTGATGGTCCGGTCCTACCTGACCTGGTTAGGGAGAGTTCCTGCTCCCCTGGCTCTATCCCTCCCCTTACCTGAACTCTAATCCCTTGTTCTTCCCCTGGCCAGCTTTTTTCTCCATTCAAGACTTTGAGGTTCCTTCTGACCAGATCCCCTCTCAGTCCCAGATACCTCTGTGGCTCCTGCCCCATGCCCCTGTGTCATAGTCAGTTCAGGGTGAGCCCTTCTACAAACAGCTCCAGCCACAAAGGGCCTGCCTGGCTTAGGGACACCGCAGGAGGTGGTGACATCCTGGCCCAAGTCCATCCTCCTTTCTCCTTCTTCCCTGCAGGAAATCAAGTGTCCCTGCCTGCCTTGGCTCAGGTGGCCCGTTTGCTGGTCTCTGTGCTGTGTGGACTCCTCATGGCCAAGGGCCTGATGCTGTGAGTCCTGTTTGTGTTTCTGACCTGCAGGTGCCACAGGTGAGAGGGGCCTGGATTTGGTCTGGGGGGCAATGGAGCTGGGGCCGGATTCTGTTCCTAGAAAGATGGCTAGGAAGAAGCAGCCAGATCACAGAGCCAGGAAAAATGACAGCTGGGAACAATTTAAATATGTTTCCTTGCAATCTCTGCCTTCCTGCAGACGCAGACCTTAGAAAGAGACAGAGGCTTTCTGGGAGTCCCATCCCAGGGCTCTGCCTCTTTCTTTGTCCTAAGAGGAAAAAGACCAGGAGGACAAAGCTGAGAGTGCCTGAGTAGAAGGTTTAGGAGACAGGAAAGGAAAGGGAAGGAAGCAGGGGACTGGGAGAAGTGGGGTGAGGGGCGGGAAAAGGAGTAACAGGTAACAGGGACAGGGTGAGACAAAGGATCAGAAAAACATCACTTCCATTCATGACTTTCCCCCTCTTGCCCCGTCTGAGGACAGCAGTGACGGAGGTTTCTGATTGTCCCAGCACAGTCTTGTCCCAGGACCCTTGGGTGCATGAGCCACAGCTTGGGTCCAGGATTAACTCCAGTTCTTCCCCTGCCCAGCTATTGGGAGCTGCCCTAAGCATCAGGTCCCACCTCCCCGTGAGGAAAGGCCAGCACTAAGCCTGTTGGGGAGAACTTTCAGCTCCCTATCTCCCCGGTGGCGACCGCTCACCCCTGCCCTGAACCCTCTTAGATCTACTTCCGCTGCCCTGCCTTCTGCCATTGGGAAGATTTGGGGCGGGGGTTTCTGCATCCGGGTCAACGCCCAGCTCAGCATCTTCAGCAGCGTCTGGTCTCCTTTCCAGCACTCTGTGGTTCTCTCAGTCCCGCCCCGGCAGGTCTCCAGGATCCCTCACATTTTCCCTGTTTGTTGCCTGTGGTCTGCCCGAGAGTCCTGTGAATTTCCTCTTGTGCTTAATTAAATTCAGCCTCTGAACTGGAATGTGTCAGGGGCAGCTGAGCAAGAAAGCAGGTGTATCCCCTCACCTTCCTCCCCTCCCACCTCAGATATCCTAAATGAGAGAGAAATGACTTAAAAATAAATGATAAAATTGAAACTAAGAAAGGCTGTAATCAGCAGACTGAAAGCTGAAGAAGATCTAGAAGTAAAAGAAAAAATAAGATGAGTTAAAATGACATGAGCAGGTGACTCAGTAGCCTAAAACAGGACCCAGAACATTCATCTATAAATGGAATCTGATAATCTGGGGCCCAAATTCTGTTTGCTTAACATGTGAGATTCATAGCCTAAAAGAGAAAATCAAGTTGAACTAACGATAATTGACGGTGGGTGAAAGATAAATGTTTTAGGGAACAGAAGAGGAGCACACATTTATGAAGCAAGAATAGGTACAGTCATTTTCCAACTAACATCTTGTGAGACTGGGATTGACCACTCAGAATGGGGGTCCACCATGAACGACCAATTTGAGGTACTGGTGCATAGCAGCTGAATGCCAGCCCTGAAAAAGACCACTATAAATAGAGTGCCATTTTCTTTTGCTCTTTTGGGGACGGGGCATCAAACAAAAGTCTCTTCATGTATATCTCAGCTCCTGCCACATGATCATCACCTATCTGTGAGAGGCATCACTTTTGCTTTGTTTCTTTATTTTTTTAATCCTCATTCCTTATTTCCACTTGCCTTCCTCTCTGAAGCAACCACTCTAATGCGTTTGGCATGTAACTTTAAATTTGAATGTATTCTTATAAAACATGCAGTATTTTTTTTCTGTGACTATGTTTAAACTTAGAAGAAATCGTGATAGACCTTTTTCATATGCTTGTCTTACTCCTTGCTGGGTGCATATACACAGCCCACTTTTTTTCAGTGCTTATTACATTGTGTTCATATCCCATAGTGCATCATTCCGAACCCAGGGTGCCTGTGCTTTTTTGCCTTCACTTCTTTATATCGTAAATAATGCTGTGATGAATACCCTCCTTCAGGTTTTCTTGTGGAATCATGTGAGACTTCCTTTAGGACTTATACACAAGTGGCATCAGCTGGGTTGTAGAATCTCAGACATCTAATTAATACTGCCAGCTTGTGTTACCTGAACCAAGAATCTAGACACTAGCGATTATGTGTTTTCTTTGAGTCTATGTGAAGCACATAGCACAACCCTTGGAATGGTATTGCCAATTGAAAAAAAAAAATGGACGGCAAAAATAAATGTAGCTGAGTGATGCTACGTGGGGCTAGATATATGATTCTCTCTACTTTTGTGTATGCTTGGAAATTTTCATAATTAAAATGATACCTGAAATTAAACAATTGTGTCTTGAAGCCACTGCTATTTGGTTTTCAGTCGTATGTGGCTGACCCCAATCCTTTCTTGATTTATTGAACTTTTACAACTGCAGTGGGTTGGGAAAAGTTCACTTGTAGTATGGAAATATTGAGCTTCACTTAAAGAACATTGGTAGTGGGATAAAAATGGACTAAATAAAAATAGGTCTTCTTTAATCAGATGCTAAGAGCTAGCATTTAGCTATAACTTTTAAATATTTTTTCTTAACATCCTTGGCCTCAAAATTGTCATAATTCCCTTAATCACAGTTTTCAAGCAGGTGGTAAATTCTGTGTCATAAGCTAACATCTAAAAAAAAGTGTATCTTTCATTAAAATTTTGAACATCTTTTATTGTTTTCGTATCTTCATAGTGTTGCTATGGAACTGTCTGATAATAATCTGATAGTTATTCATCTTTACTGACCAATTTTATCTCTGGAACATTTTATAATTTTCTTTTTGAAATTTTTATTATAATGCGTTTAATGTGGGGTAATTATCCGGTTTTCTTTTTCTTTTTCTTTTTCTTTTTTTTTTGGGGGACGAAAAAGTGGGATAAGAGTCAGGGAGTGGTTGGGAAGCCCGGCAATAAAAGGCAGAAAGAGGGAAGGAGCAGAGAGCCAAAAGCCTACATCACCTGGTATTCCCAGGCGGAATCCCATCCACGTACTAACCAGGCCGACCCTGCCTGGGTCATGCCTCGGGCGCGTTGAGGGTGGTATGACCATAGAGGCCAGCGGTGGCCCCTGGCTGCCCCAACAGCCCGTGGTGCTGCAGCGGCGGACCCCCACGAGGAGGTCCCAGGCTCCTGCAGGCACGCAGGTGGGCGGAAAAGGGGGAGAAGAGTCAAAGGGTGTTTGGGAAGCCCAGCGACAAAACGAGGAAAGAGGGAGGGAGCGGGAAGCCAAAAGCTTGATTATCCATTCTATTTGGAACTCTCTGAACACATTCAATCTGATGTCTTACATATTTGTTTAATTCGGAAAAATCCTTGGTATTATTTTTTTCAAGTAGTTCTTCTACTCCATTTACTCCTTTTTCTCCTTTAGGGACTTCTTTGAGGAGATATTGACATTTCTATTTCTATCCTCCATACCTCTTAATGTTTTTCTTACACTTTCTATCACCTTATTCCTTCCTACTGCCTTTAGGGAGCTCTCCTTGACTCTTTCCCTTATGTACTCATTCTTCAGCTAGTCATTGCATTCAGAGTTTTCTTTCAACAATGATCATTTTCTTAATCAATGTTTCTAATTTTTTCTTCTTCATTATTGCTTGCTCCTGTTGTATGCCTCTAATATTGTCCTGAGAATGTCTACTATGCTCTGAGAATATCTACTATGCTTCTTTAAATCATTGTTCTCCCACTGGTTCTGCTTTCTCTGTAATAGATTATTCAATTTGTTTCTCTATAAGAAATTTGTTCAATTTGTTATCTTTTATAGCATTTGGTAATTTTTCTTTTGTTCTCATCTTTTATTCCCTTTCCACCCCCCCCTTTTTTTTTTTTTTTTTTTTTGGGGTTCGGTGAAGTACTACAGATTTCACCACCTAAGGAAGCCCCAGAGGTAAATAGAGTTGATGAGTTTGCCATAAACCGTCCAAATATATAGATACACTTACTATATCACAAAGATAGCCATTCACATCAATGAGTTTATTTAACAATGAAAACAGCATATGTTTAACTATTTGGAAAAAATTAAATGCTACCCTCTTTTCATACTATAATCTAAAATAAATTTTAAATAGATCAAAGAATTAAGTGTTAAATGAGAAAATATTAAATAACTAAAAGAAATAACTAAAGATTCAATTCTAGTAAGGATGGGCATAAGCAGCCAATATAAGAGAGACAGAAATCATAGAGAAAAAAGGCTGAGAGATTTTCCAAAATTAAAATTTTAAAACTAATCTGTGTCCAAAGTAAGTCATAAAGAAAACAAACAAGAAAAGAACAAACTCAGTAGAGTTTTTTGGAATTAAACTAGAAATCAGTAGCAGAATAACAAAAGGATATTTGGGAACTAAAAACTGTAATAACTAAAATTAAAAGCTCACTAGATGGACACCATAGGGTAGTAGAAATGAGAGGATATAATTAGTGAACTAAAAGACAGATCAATAAATTTACTCAGACTGAACAGAGAGAAAACAGACTGAAAATAATTGAACAAAACCTCAGCTATCTGTGCAGCATTGCCACAAGAGCTAACTTTTGCATCATCAGAGTCCCAGAAGCAAAGGAGAAAAAGTGTGGGACTAAAAAATTATTCAAAGAAATGTCTGAGCTTCTCAAATTTAGTCAAAGACATAAAGTTACTGATCCAAGAAAGCTTTTGGGATGATGGCACCCTTCTCTCTTGATTATGGCATTGGATACCTGGAACTCTCAGAACTGTTCATTAAAAAGGGTGAATAGTACTGTATGTAAATTAGACCTTAATTTTTTAATGGGAAAAATAAATGTAAAGACAAAATACACTGTTGTGTTAAGTCATTTTGGACATAAAAGTCTAATGTATACATATCTTTAATGACTTTGACCAGTGCTTCCAAATTTCTCTTAAGAAAGGTTGAATCCTGTGCATACTTCCTCAATCAGTGAATGAGTGTTTGATTCCTTGTACCCTTATCAGCACAGTGATCCCAAGGGTCACAGTTTCGACGATCCCTGGCTC